TCGTGCATTGCAACAATGTCTTCAGCTGAACGGCGTAAACGAGCACGCAATGGTGTTTTCACATCTGCCACCGACCCAGTTTATTTGAATCTACAAACAATTTTTCCAACTGCACTCTTGAAACTTTATCCCCTTGTTTGATTGTTAATGTTTCCATGGTTAAAATTGCCAAAAACTTAAGTTGTTAAATCTGAAAGAAAAAGAAAAAATCATTAGACGCTTAAACTTAATTCACATTTAAAATCGATCCAAGTTATTGGAACAGCCTTTACATTGTCGGTGTCAGCAACAACTCCATAACCTGACATGTCGTCATTATCTGAATTTTGATGTTAAATTTTCTCTATACAATGTTCGATTGATGAATTGATTCGTTTTCTACGGCTTATCAACCCTTTGCAGGTTATTTAAAGCTAGAAGATATTTTTAGAATGTTAGGCTTTTGGAGAGGAAGATAATAACGGTTTAGTGTTAATAATTAATCCATAGATGTGGGGAGATATCCATTCATAGAAGATTCCACCGTCTGATCCAGCATGCTTTGACCACTCAACTACAGAGAGCCTCACAACCAAGCCGATTTGTTTAGAGTATTCCGCATCAAACGGTGGTTTACCTTATAAAAGAGGGCGCAGGTTCAAATCATGCTGGAGGGCACATATTTTTATTAAGTTTTCTGGAATGTGCAGGCCGGTAAACTAAATAAACAGTTTAAAAAGCGGGTCGTTCTACTAAGATTCGGGTAACGATTAAAAATAACATTTGGAGGCATATCAATGTCTGTAAGTTGACAGGTAGACCTTAGTAGAATTTTGATTGGAGATTCTCTCTGTATAATGATCGATCTCCGCGATTAAAATTCGTCACTGAATTAATGACACGAACGGATATTACACTGAAAAGCTGTTTCTTTATTATATAAAGTGACACATGGAGCTAGAACAATCTACCCCGGTGAACGAAATAAAAGTTTCGGTTCGAAATTCCAACCACCTGAAGAAGACCGGAGCGTACAATGGCCGAAACGTTGCGAATATGGCAATGTAGATCAGGATAACAGTTCGAATAATGTAAATAATGCAAATAAAGTGACACGTTGCGCCTTTCCGAGCTAACGTCCTCGGCGGACATGAAGCAGAAAGACTGTATCGACTCTATTGCTAGGTCAGCTCCTAAGAAAGTCGATTCAATGTCTCATGTGAGACAATTTTTCTCTCCATAAACTATCTTACATTTTAATAAGTTTACCATTCGTTCATGCTTAGAATATTACTGCCACATATGGTCCGGTGCTTCTGCTATATATTTAAAGATCCTTGATAAAATCGAAAGAAGAATCAGCAATATTATTGGTCCTGATCTGGCGTCTCGGCTTCAGTCAATTTTCTACTACAATAATGCTTCCTCCCTCTGACTTTTCTATAAATAATTTCATGGTAATTGTTCTGAGCTCTACGATATGGTATACAGACTTTATGAATATAAGCGTAGTACTTGACCAGCTGGAAGCAAATCGTACGTGGCCGGACATTTGTCCGAAAGACATTTGGCCAAAGGGCAATTCACCGAAAAAGTATAAGTAAAAATAGTAACATGCAATACTTTAAGTATTTTAATTAGCAGTATTATAAGGTAGAATAGGACTAATAATTAATACTGAATTTCAAGTGATTAAATCTAAATTAAAAGTTAAAAATTTTCTGATTTCCATATTTGTTTATTGAAATTAGAATTTTTAAAAATATTTGAATGTATTTGGGTAAAAAGTAGAACCTAATTATTTAAATTCGTATTTAACAGCAATATTGAAAATATTCATTAAAAGCGAAATTGAAAGATCTTGCATATCGTAAAATCTTAAGATTTTTGCTGTAGTAAAATGTGCTTTTTCTCAAAATACTTATCATCTTACAGTAATATTTGAAGTAAAATATTATACATACAGAAAAATAAAAATAAACGAAAAATTATAAATGAATACAATAAATAAATATAAATATATGCAGCACATTACGATAAAGAGTGTAACACAAAAGTACGCCACTACATTTTCGGCCAAATGCCAGTCGGCCAAATGTCCGCCGGCCAAATGCCTGTCGGCCAAATGTCCGCCGGCCAAATGTCCGCTGGCCAAATGTCCGCCGGCCAAATGTCCACCGGCCAAATGTCCACCGGCCAAATGTCCGGACCCAAATGCCCGTCGGCCAAATGTCCGTCACCCAAATGTCCGTCGGCCAAATGTCCGTCGGTCAAATTTCCGTCGGCTAAATGTCCGTAACCCAAATGTCTGTCACCCAAATGTCGACACCCAAATGTCCGTCGGCCAAAGCTGCGTCAGCCAAATGACCGTAACCCAAATGACCGTAACCCAAATGACCGTAACCCAAATGACCGTAACCCAAATGTTCGTCGGCCAAATGTCCGTGGCCTAAATGTCCGACACCCAAATGCCCGTCGACCAAATGCCAGTCACCCAAATGTCGGTCACCTAAATGTCCATCGCCAAAATGTCTCTAGGTCAAATGTCTATCACCCAAATGTCCGTCACCCAAATGTCTGTCACCCAAATGTCGACACCCAAACGTCCGTCGGCCAAAGCTTCCTCAGCCAAATGTCCGTCACCCAAATGTCGGACACACAAATGTCCGTCGGTTAAATGTCGGACACCCAAATGACAGTTGACAAAGCTCCATCAGCCAAATGACGTCAGCCAAATGACCGTCACCCAAATGTCGGACACCCAAATGTCCGTCAGCCAAATGACCGTCAGCCAAATGTCCGTCACCCAAATGCCCGTCGACCAAATGCCCGTCGACTAAATGCCTGTCGGCCAAATGTCCGTAACCCAAATGTCCGGACCCAAATGTCGGACATCTAAATGTCCGTCGGCCAAATGTCAGTCACCTAAATGTCCTTCGGCCAAATGTCCGTCGGTCAAATTTCCGTTGGCTAAATGTCCGTAACCCAAATGTCTGTCACCCAAATGCCGGACGTCCAAATGTCGGACACCCAAATCTCTGTGGGCCAAATGTCCGTCACCCAAATGTCCGTCGGCCAAAGCTTCCTCAGCCAAATGTCCGTCACCCAAATGTCGGACACACAAATGTCCGTCGGTTAAATGTCAGACACCCAAATGACAGTTGACAAAGCTCCGTCAGCCAAATGACCGTCAGCTAAATGACCGCCAGCCAAATGTCCGTCACCCAAATGCCCGTCGACTAAATGTCCGTCACCGAAATGTCCGGACCCAAATGTCGGACATCTAAATGTCCGTCGGCCAAATGTACGTCACCCAATTTCCGTCACACAAATGTCGGACATCCAAATGTCCGTCGGCCAAATGTCCGCCACCCAAATATCGGACACCTAAATGTCCGTCGGCCAAATGTCCGTCACCCAAATATCGGACACCTAAATGTCCGTCGTCCAAATGTCTGTCGCCCAAATACCCGTCACCCAAATGTCCGTCACCCAAATGTAGCACGTCAGATCAAATAATGGTTTCCGTATAGGAATACAGGTTCGATTCCTGTCGGAAAACGCATATTTTCTACGAAATTTCTCGAACATTCAGGCCGGTAAATGTAATTAACACTGTTTAAAAAAAAAAAAAAAAAAAGTGCATTTACTTAAATAAATTGTACCAATAAAAAATATCGTAAACAATATATATATGGATGCAACCTTTCTTTTAAACATGTTCTGGGAAAATTAAATCAACATGTTTAAGTAAAACATGCTTAAGAAAAATTTAATCAATTTTTACTTAGTTTTCCAGCATACTTATTTTTTTTAATTGGTGGGTGTAAGGGTATATATATATATATATATATATATATATATATATATATATATATATATATATATATATATATATATATATATATATATAGTGCGATGGGTAAATTGTCGTGATTTTATATTTTTGATTTTGCCGAGTTCGAATACCAGTGGAATTACATTCACTTATGTGATAATACCCTTAGGAAAGTTATGAATCCTCTCCCCCCCCTCATTACAGACCGGGTTCTATAACCTTGGATGACAACTGCTCTACCGCAGAAAGAAATGGCAACCTACTGCGAGGAAAAAATCTGCCTCGACGGTCATGTATCGAGAGATACATGATCGCCTAAGCGTGTATAACTCATGGCACATAACTGGCTGAATTATATTGCTGTGTTGAGCTCTTTTTGTGGATCAGTTGTAATATTTTATATTACTAAGATCCACTTGGATAATATACCAACGCATTTTGTTAACTTTACTTTATATATATATATATATATATATATATATATATATATATATAAAGAAATATAGTCTTAAGGTGTGCTATATTTATGGGATAAAGTGCTCAATATCAGAGATAGAGCGTGTGTAAATATAAAAGTGAACATAGAAGTCAACACTTAGAGGTGACAGTCTGTTTCATGCTATATGCAATCGTCAGGCCACATGTGGCCTGACGATTATATATAACATGAAACAACTGTCACTTTTATGACTTTATATTCACTATATATATATATATATATATATATATATATATATATATATATATATATTACAATTATTTTTAAAAATCAAATTTTTAAAAAGTAAAATAAAAAGGCTCTACTTATGTATTGAGCACTGTTTTTTTTTTTTTTTTTTTTTTTTTAATAAAAGCAAGAATACTATAGAACATCGGATAATTAACCTAACGTGTTCTTTCCTATTTTTCTATATATTTGCATATATATATATATATATATATATATATATATATATATATCATGTTTCCGGATTTGTTGGTATCGTGGAGTTTCTTTAAGTATCTTCCCATATATTGATAAGCAACACCAGCGATGACGACGCGGTTTGGAATGCTTTACATGTTCGATCATTTCTATCGAATCGTGATCAAATAGATTACCAACAGGGAAAAAAGGTTGTTCCCGTTCGATTTTTGACGCGATTCATTTTCACTCAATTGACGAGGTTTTGAAGACAACCTGATGTCGCTGGTATGCAACACTGATATTTATTTGTTGATGTCGAATCACTGTTTTCGGTGCCGGTTGTCGAGTGCATTGTTCGCGACGCTGTGATCAATAACCGCGAAGTGTCACAGCTTCAAAAGCGATAAATATCATTGGATCGACGAGTTATTGTTTTTGCTTTGTTTTTATTTGTTTGCTTGTTTATTTCTTTATTTGCTTCTTTTTTTTTTTTTTTTTTTTTTTTTAAACGTGGGGGGTGCAAAGCTGAGCGCAAAAAAATAAAATAAGTTTAAGGGTTGCCCTGAAATCATTTCCCACGAGGGTTTCATTTTTAACTTCCTTCATCAGAAAGATTAACGAAAAAAAATAATCTAAACTTCTTTATTGTCTTTCTTATTATTTTTTGTCTGACTCCGCTCTCCTTTTTCCCCTTTCTTAGTCATTATCTCTCTTTTTCTCTCTCACTCACTCCCTTTCCCACTCTCTCTCTCTTTCTATCTATCAGTCTCAAATTGTTTCTTTCTATCTTTCTATCTATCTCTCTACCCCCTCTCTCTCTCTCTCTCTCTTTCTATCTATCTGTCTATCTATCTATGTATCTCTCTCTATCAGTCTGTTCATACCTATCACTATCTGTTCATATCTATCAATATATCTATCAAGCTCACTAGCTATCTAGCTAGCTATCACAGGCTGTCATATCTATCTATCTATCTATCTATCTATCTATCTATCTATATATATATATATATATATATATATATATCAGTCTGTTCATACTTATCACTATCTGTTCATATCTATCAATATATGTAGCAAGCTCTCTAGTTATCTAGCTGGCAATCACAGTCTGTTCATATCTATCTATCTATCTATCTATCTATCTATCTATCTATCTATCTCTCTCTCTCTCTCTCTATACATATATATATATATATATATATATATATATATATATATATATATATCAGTCTGTTCATACCTATCACTATCTGTTCATATCTATCAATATATCTAGCAAGCTATCTAGCGAGCTATCACAGTCTGTTCATATCTATCTATCTATCTATCTATCTATCTCATTTCGTTCATATCTATCTATCTATCTATCTATCTATCTATCTATCTATCTCAGTCTGTTCATATCTATCTATCTATCTATCTATCTATCTATCTCAGTCTGTTCATATCTATCTACATGATGCGATGAATGAATTGTCGTCTAAATTTTGCAAAACTTAAAATAACACTGACATCTCATTTTAAGAGATATATTTACCAAAATTACACAAAAATATCTTGTAATACTAAAGAGTAAATTTATTCAATAAAATCGCCATTGGCTTAAACTACGGCCTCCAGAAGACATCGAAATCTCCTGCAACTCTTCTGGGCGGTTTCTTTGTTTAAGTTAGTGAATGCTGCATAATCCTCGACATCAGTTCATCTTTGATGTTACAAGGAGTTTTATTGGTCTCTCGCTTAACTGCGCCCCACACATAATAATCAAGGGGGGTGCAGTCTGTGGCCAGATATAAGGGGTGATGTGGTCGCAGAAATTGTCTGACACTCATGACTGGGTTCTTCTGTTTGTGTGGCATGGTGCAGAGTCATGTTGCTTACTAGGGTCTTGCAGCAGTGAACCTCTTAACACATCACTACCTCCCCAAGGCACTCCGTGTTGAGTTTGAGGTCTTCTAGGAAGATAAATATAGTCCTAACGTCACCATCACTAGTGATCACCATTAGACTCATCCAACTATATTTACGTAAGATGTAATGACCAATTTCCCCTAGTGGGGGTAGTGGTTGATTTTGAACTCTTTAAAAACTTTTTCTATTACAATCAACTTGATAAAACACCAGAAGTGTTGAAACAAAATGGTTATTTTTATAGTCATGTTATAACATACTTATGTTATAATTTTTTAATAAATATTATTCGCGCTACTTTGTATTTGGGCACTTTTTAAAAAGAAAATAGTGTCTTTGGTTACTGGAATTTCATTCCCTTTGTACCATTATTATATGTATATTTATGTATATATCTCAGTCTGTTCATATCTATTTATCTTTCTATATATCTACCTATCTCTTGTGAGCACCTCGAGGTGGTGTAATGGTTAGCAAACTTGTCTTGCTACGAACAATTACGACTGAGTGGTGAGTTCGATTCTCACTGGGTGCCCCATCCTTTCGGCCTTGTACCACATCTAAGCTACGCTTGGAAATCGCTATATTTGGGCACCTCAACGTAGTGTAAAGATTAGAAAGCTTGTCTTGCTAGAACAATTACGGCTGAGTAATGAGTTCGATCCTCACTGGGTGCTCCGTACTTTCGGCCTTGTGCCACATCTAAGCTGTGCTTAGAAAATCTCTATCTACCTATCTTTTGCTTAGAATTGCTCTCTCTCTCTCTCTGTCTTTGACTCTCTCTCTCTCTCTCTCTCTCTCTGTCTTATATTTCACTTCCTCATCCTGACTCAGTGCTTCTTTTATCATTTCACCCCAAGCAAGGCAACAAAGCCACTAACACGTTAGTTACTGAGTGTGAAAGAATATAAGAAACACATTAAGGAGCGAGAACAATAAAAGAACATTGATTGATTCGTTTTTACAGTTTATCAACCCTTTGCAGGTTATTTAAAGCCAGAAAATATTTTATACTGTAAGATTTTTTTTTGTAGTTAATAATGACAGTGATACAAGTCCACCTTATTCACCCATAGCTGGGGGACAAGAGATGGATTCCTATCTTTCCCAAGGATATTTGCGCGTAAGTGAATATAACGAACCCAACTGGAATTGGAACTCGGTTCTCTGATTAACAATTCCGAGCCATTATCCATTACACCACCAGCACATCCAAGCTAACGGCGTCTGGTATTTCCAAGTGGTCACTCATCATTAATAAGGTCGACGTAACTTAACTTCGGTGATCATATGGGAATCGTGATGTGGCCGTAAGTGATAAGAGAAGAGGAATTAAGAAGACAGAAAATAACGAATTGTGTATTATATTTTTGAAGATCATAGTTGATTGGAAAGCAAGAAACCGGAAGAGAGTTCCACAAGCAAGAAGTGCGAGAGAAGAAACTATTAGCATAGAACTTACGGTTACATCTAGCCAGTTCAACTATAAATTGATGAGATATTCTCCCCGAAATCTTTACATATATGTTTATTTTTTCTGTCCACCTTTCCAAACCACTTCTTCCACTTTGTTTTACTTCATCTCTTCATATCTGTCTATTTGTCTATCTATCTATTAAGCTAGCTCACTAGGTATCTTTTTTCTTACAATCTCTCTTATTCTTTTCCTCTCTTATTTTCGACCCCTTTTTCTTCTCTCTTTCTATCTTTCTCATATATATATATATATATATATATATATATATATATATATATATATATATATATATATGTATATATGTATACATATTAATTTCCATGTTAGATATGTCAATATATCACAGAAATATCGCTCAGCTTACCTTTCTAACGTCTCTCCAATGATTTTCCAAGCCTAGCTTAGATGTGGCACAAGGCCGAAAGTATGGGGCACCCAGTGAGGATCGAACTCACTACCCAGTCGTAATTGTTCTAGCACCATCTCGAGGTGCCCAATATATATATAAATATATATATATATATATATGTGTGTGTGTGTCTGTGAGACTATATATATATAGTCTCGCAGAGAGACACACAGTGAGACACATACAGAAACATATATATATATATATATGTGTGTGTGTGTAAACACGAGAGAAATAGCGGAAATTCTTCCTTCATTTTCGAAATCTCACATTAAACCTCGACCTTGTGTTACATTCCGTTACGACGTGGTCGTGCTGATAAATAACTCTTTTTTTTCTTTACTCCCTGGACATCGTGTTGGGATCAAAGTGTAGTATCTGCTTTCAGGAGGTCTACATTTTGTCTCTCAGTTGTGATTCTGTCTTCGGACAGAACTCAAGAAATAAATGAAGGATACCTCATCTAGAAGATTCCACTCATGAGGCGGCAACTCCTTCATTGTACAAAAGAGGGAGATTCGGTGGAATATCAGCGCTGTCGAGACATTGGTTGCGGAGACAGGACAATTTAGGGGGCCATAGCCCATGTGCACGCCCGTGCCATATCCCGTCACCGTCGGGAGATGAGTAAATAACAAGTGTAGTAAGTGTCCTACACCTCTCTAATAATAATGGTGATATTAGCCGTTTCCTTATAAGAATTTGGTGGTGGTAGCGCAGTGTCTGTTTTAAAAATTGAATGCTGATATGTCACTGGAACGTACTCGACTGAACGACATTTGCCCAAGGAGTATGTCCCCTCGCCTCCATGTTACTGATGTCGTCCAACGGTAATATTGCTTAGCACAAGCGTCATCATAAGAGTTGCCACAAACCAAAATTGGATTAAGTATCGGACTGTCTTTGAGTCTCCTGCTGCATTTTTTCCCTCTGGGATTACTCCCGAAGCCGTTCCAATGACTGGGTATGTCGGGAAAAACAGCGAAGGTCTGAAGTTTTCCTTCTCTTCGATCAGTGATTCTTAACCGACGTGCCGCGATCCTCTTAAGTGTGCCGCGAAATATTGTTACGACGTCTATATCTATATCTATAATTCTCAAAATGTGTGTGTGTATGTATGTATGTGTGTGTGTATGTGTGTATATGTAGTATGTATGTGTGTATGTATGTATCTATGTGATCGGATCTTGTTTATACGTTTTCCACAGTTTCCATCCAATTTCGATGATTTTTGTTTGTTTGATAATAATTCTTCAGTGCCGGTTTTGAGTCCAAATTGTTGGCGACAATGGCCCTCCACTACTTCCTGACATTATAAATCTTAGCAACGTTTTAGTATTCATTATCTGTTCTTGCATATATATCTTTCATAAAAACAATAATAAAAATAAAGTTTAAATTATTACAATAATATTATCCATATCTATAATTCGCAAAATGTGTGTGTGTGTGTGTTTGTGTGTGTGATTGGATGTTGTTTATGCCTTTCCACAGATTTCATCCGATTTCGATTATTTTTTTTTTTTTATTTGATAGTTAATTCTTCAGTGTCGCTTTTGAGCCCAAATTGGCTGGGAAAAAAAATCGAAAAAACTGATTTTTTTACACATTGCGCAAAAATGAAAGCAAAATTTAACGTCCGTAAAAACAGTGTACAATCAGAGAGTTGAAATAAAAGTTAAAGATTATTAGAATCGTAAAAAAAAAATTATACCATAAATAAAAATTATCGTATATTATTATTATGACGGTCCATAGAAGAGGTTTCATCCTTGCAAGATTGAGAACGCAAAAACGGCCCTTTTCAGGCCCACGCCCCATTCAAATTGTTAACCCCCCATTTGAGGATGCGCCTCAGTTGCACGCAAATGCTGTTACTAATATCCATTTTCTGTTGGGCTCACTTGAACAGCAAAGATTCCCAGTGAAAATGAAACACCCGGTCGAAGACAGGTTATACTGATAGATATATATATATATATATATATATATATATATATATATATATATATATATATGCATGCATGTATGTATGTTTAAAGTAAAGTTAACAAATGCGTTGGTATATTATCCACGTGGATCTTAGTAATATAAAATATTACAACTGATCCACAAAAAGAGCTCAACACAGCAATATAATTCAGCCAGTTATGTGCCATGAGTTATACACGCTTAGGCGATCATGTATCTCTCGATACATGACCGTCGAGGCAGATTTTTTCCTCGCAGTAGGTTGCCATTTCTTTCTGCGATAGACCAGTTGTCATCAAGGCTATAGAACCCGGTCTGTCCTGGGGGTGGGGAAAAGTGGATTCATATATATATATATATATATATATATATATATATATATATATATATATATATATATATGTGTGTGTGTCTGTGTGTGTGTGTATATATATATATATATATATGTTTGTGGAAGTAGTAATGGTAGAGCGTTAGTATATGAATAAATAATTCTTTTCAATATTCTTGATACATTTTGTATTTGATTACAAAAAACATCTCACATTAATTAAAAAGGCTTTATCAGTTTTATTGCAATTTTCTACTTCTTATTTATGTGAATTAGGCTTCTCAATTCTACATAACAGTAAAAATGAGAAACGGGAAAGACTACGTTCAACTGAAGTAAAAATGAGGAACTGCTTATCGCACGTTCGACCAAACTTTGAAGAAATCATGAAAAAACACCATTCACGGGTTTCACACTAAATAAACTGCATAAATAGTTTTATAGAAACATTGAAATAAAGGAAGTTCATATTTGTGTGTATATTTTTTAATCTATGGTTTTAGTTCATGACATTTAAAGGTATACCCTTTAAAAATGTTGCTAAATGTACCGTGATATTTTCATTTGCTCCTAAGTGTGCCTTTGCTTAAAAGAGCTGAGAAATATTTTCTTAGATGGACTGTCCCTGCAATAATTCAGCTACCAAATCTAAATTTACGGTATCTGGTACATCTAAAGGACACCTATTTAAATGCTGACCAGATTCAAGGTTGTAAAGATTTATGCTCAGTGTTTATTCACGAAGCCATTCTCATAGTTTTGGTATGACAGCAAGATAACGAACGTTTGAAATCAGAAATTTCCTTCTTTTATAATGAATAACTCTTAAGCTTTTTTCAAATAATTCTTTTCAATATTCTTGATACATTTTGGATTTCATTATAAAAGAAATATCTGACATTTACTTAAAAGCTTTCATCGGTTTTCTTGCAATTTTCAACTACTTATTTATGTGAATTAGTCCCCTCAACCCTAAATAACATCAATAATAAGAAGCGAGAAAGACTACGCTCAACTGAAGAAACGTTTTTTTCTGCTTATTGACGAAAGCTTAGATTGGATTAAAAAATATGTATCAATATTTTGATTTTCTTTCTTCGTTTAATGATAATATTATTAAGCTTATCAGACGATATGAAAAGAATTTACATAAAATAAATAGACAAAACTTGTCTATATTATTTAATGAAACACACACACACACACACACACATATATATATATATATATATATATATATATATGATTCAAAAAATGATTAACTCTTTGTAATATATATATATATATATATATATATATATATATATATATACATGAACTTTATTTCAATCCATCATGAGATCTTTAGCCATGATTAATTAATAATGAACATGTCATTTTCGATTATAATTATCACGATTATTCTGTTAAGCTTGGAGAGTAATTATACATTCTCATTGCTCAGAGTAGAGTCCAATAGTGTTATTAAAACATCGGAAAATTCCAGTAAGATATCTTGAATCATTTCTAAGATACAATGATTAAAAGCTTAATCTAACAAATGGACAATTTTGCTGTTACACGATTTGGACAATTTTGCTGTTACAACCGGTATATCCGTGAACCTAGCGTTAGTCATATGGGGTGTTTTTGTTACCCGCA